GCAGGAGAATCGCTTGAACCCAGAAGGCGGAGGTTGCAGTGAGCCGAGATCGCGCCAACGCACTCCAGCCTGGGCGACAGAGCGAGACTCCGTTTCAAAAGAGAGAGAGAGAGAAAAGAAGGATGGGGGTGGGGAGAGAATGAGGGAGTGGGGAGGAGAATGGTGCTCCCCATTTACGCAGCCGGTGTGGCTCGGAGGTGGCTTGGAAGTTTACACACTTGAGCTCTATCGATTCTGAAACGTCCCGATACATCTTGAAGTATGGGGAGGAGGGAGCCGCGCTAGGCAGCAGCCAACGTGGTGGAGTCCCCGGGCCCAGACTCTTGCGGGAGGGGGCTCTGCTCCCTCCAGGCCCCGGCCGCTCCTGCCTGGCCCCGGGGACCCCGCTCTTCCTCGGACTTCGACGACGGACTCCTCTGCCCGGACATGCCCCGCCACGAGTGACCAGGGCCAGGCACCCCCGCCGTGTCCCCCTCTCTCCCTGCCCCCTCCCGGTGCCAGGTGCGCTTTTCCCCAGGCAGGACCGCGATGGGGACTCACCTGCAGCAGGACCCCGACGACGACAAACTTGAGGGTCTTGTGGACCCGGAGCCCAGGGCTGGCTCCCTGCGCCGACCTGGGTCCTACGGCGCGCCGTGCCCGGGCCTGGGCACTGGGTCCCTGCTGTCCCATAGAGGTAGGGAGCGCTCCTCGGCCCCCACCCCGCGGTTCAATCCTCCCCGCGGAAGAGCCCCACACTTTGCTGGGTGTGGCTGTGGCTGCCTCTGTCCCACTCGCTGCGCTCCCCGGATTCGGAGTCACTGCCAGGAACGCGCCCAGCTTTACTCCAGCTGGTGGTGGCGCCATCCTGCCAGCTCAATCCAAGAAGCAGCGTGCTTGGCTGTGATAAGACAGAAGTTCGCATTCGGAGTTTAGGGCAACCCTGACCCCGCCCCCTTTTCGGGGCACCTGCGGCTCCTGTTGGCCAACCCTGAACTTCCTTCCTCTGTGACCGCCCTCGCCGCCCTCAGCTTCTGTTCCTCAAACACCGCCGCCGCGTGGATGCTGCTGCGTTCGGAGTCGTTTTGCCACTGTCAAAACGACTGGTCCCAGCGCGAGGCTTCTCGGTCGGGAGTCGACCTCAGTCTCTCCGTGGCCGGATTCCTGGCGACTAGCAGGCACTCGGTGGACGGATGGGTAGCGGAATGAAGGGCACAGAGGCCGCCACCGCGGAATCTGGCCTCTAAGAGGCTTCTACGGCCTCTTGCGTCACTACCGGGCGAGTGATTCACCCTGCCTTTTTTTGTTGTTGTTGTTAATGGAGTCTAGCTCTGTCGCCTAGCTGGAGTGCAGTGGCCCAATCTCGGCTCACTGCAACCTCCGCCTCCCGGGTTCAAGCGATTTTCCTGCCTCAGCCTCCTGAGTAACTGGGATTACAGGCGCCCGCCACCACGCCAAGCTAAGTTTTGTATTTTTAGTAGAGACGGGGTTTCACTGTTTTGGCCAGACTGGTCTCGAACTCCTGACCTCGTGATCCGCCCTCCTTGGCCACCCAAAGTGCTGCGATTACAAGCGTGAGCCACCGAGCCTGGCACATCCTGCTATTGGTCTCAGGTTTCCATGCCAGTGAAATGTCACCTCAACTCCACTGTTCTAGTGTCAGGCAAGCCCGAGGGACCCAATTCTGCCTTTCCTCTGGATTTTCCTAATCTGTTAAGAGTCTTGAAAGTTCTTAAACCATGGGGGACTACCTGGTGCATGACAGGGATGCGACTTGGCGGCAGTCCCACGTGGAGGCAGGTCCTTTCCAGCAGTTCCTCCGCACCCAGCGCTTCGCGGGCCCAGGGAGCGGAAAATCAGCCCCCCGAAAGCCAGGCGAGTCACGGTCCTGCCTGCGAAGGGCTCCCAGGGCGACCTTGGGGCTGAGGAGTGGGTAAGAGAAAGGGGACGCTGATTGATGTTCATTTTTCTCCATATTTTACCGAGTTCCGGTACTATTTGTTGAAAAGACTTTTTTTTCAGCCGGGCGCGGTGGCTCACACCTGGAATCCCAGCACTTTGGAAGGCCAATGTGGGCGGATCACGAGGTCAGGAGTTTGAGACCAGCCTGACCAGCATGCTGAAACCCTGTCACTTTGTAACCAAATTGGCCGGGCATGGCGGCACATGCCTGTAATCCCAGCCACTCAGGAGGCTGAGGCAGAAGAACTGCTTGAACCCAGGAGGTGGAAGTTGCAGTGAGCAGAGATGGAGCCACTGCACTCCAGCCTGAGCAACAGAGGGACTCTCCGTCTCAAAAAAAAAAAAAAGAAAAGAAAAGAAAAAGAAATTTTATCCTTTGACACCAATAGCTACAGCACACAGTAAACACTCCCTAACTGCTAGTCAGATAAAATAAAACCTCCCACTAAAAGTTCTGTTTCACTCAATTCCTTTTATCCAATCCATCATGTTCATAATACAGGAAATAAACAGAATTGAAGGGAGAAATTTACACTACTATAATAATAGTTGGAGACTTCAATTGTCTCACTTTCAAAAATAGAACAATCAGAATGAAGATAAATAAGGACGTAGAGTACTTGGACATCACTACATACTAATGGAAACTAAAAGACATAAAAAACAGTTCACCACAAACAGAAGCATTCAATTTTTCTCAAAGATACATGGAATATTCTCCAGGATAAACCATAAGTTAGACCACAGAGTAATTCTTTATAAATTTAAAATAACAAATTAAAACTTCTGATCACAATATGACACTAGAAATCAACATCAGAAGGAAAAGAGTAAACTCACACATGTAGAAATCAAGCTTTTAAATAACCAACGAGTCAAAGAGGATCTCATATGAGAAATTAGAAAAGATCTGGAGATAAGTGAAGCAAAAACCACAACATACTAAAACTTCCAGGATGCAGTAAAAGCAGTGCTAAGAGGACATGTTATCATGGTAAATGCTTATATCAAAGAGGAAAAAAGATCTAAAATAAACAATGTACACATTAAGAAACTAGAAAAGGAAGAATAAACTAAATCCAAGGTAGCGGAACAGAGGAAATAAAAAAAAATAGAGGAGAGATTATTTTATAAAGAGAATACGAAAACAGTAAAGAAAATAAGCCCAAAAGTTGATTTTTGAAAAGATTAACAAAATGGAGAAATCTTCGACTTAATTTATTAAAAAATAAGAATCCTCAAATTACTAAAATCAGAAATGAAAGTGGGACATTATTACTGATTCTATAGCAATAAAAAGGGTTAGAAGAGAGTACTATGAAAAACTGTATGCCAAAAAACACAATTATCTAGCTAAAATGAACAAATTCTAGAAACACACAACCTACCAGTACTGATAAGAAACAGAAGAATAGAACAGACATAACTGGAAGGAGATTGAATCAACAATCAAAAACTTCCCCGGACCAGATTTGTGTCCGGCCAAATATTTAAAGAAAAATTGGCTGGGCACGGTGGCTCACACCTGTAGTTCCAGCACTTTAAGAGGCGAGGTGGGCAGATCACAAGGTCAAGAGACCCAGACCATCCTGGCCAACATGGTGAAAACCCGCCTCTACTAAAAATACAAAAATTAGCTGGATGTGGTGGTGCATGCCTATAGTCCCAGCAACTCGGGAGGCCGAGTCAGGAGAATCGCTTGAACCCAGCAGGCGGAGGTTGCAGTGAGCCGAGATTGCACCATTGCACTCCAGCCTGGCGACAGAGAGGGACTCTGTCTCAAAAAAAGAAAAAAAAAAAAGAAAGAAAGAAAAGAAAAAAAGAAAAATCAACACCAAGTTTTCTGAAAGATGTGAAAAGGAGGGAACTCCTCCTAAATGATTCTGTGAAGCCAATACTGTCCTTACACCAAAGTCAGGCAAAGATACCACAAGAAAGAAAACTACAGACCAATATCCCTTATACATTTTGTGGCAAAAATCTTCAACAAAATAATAACAAACTGAATCTAACATTTATCGATTTTTATTTATAATTTGTTTATTTATTAAAGACAGTCTTGCTCTGTTACCACGCTGGAGAGCAGTGGTTTGATCATGGCTCACTTCAGCCTTGAACTCCTGGACTCAAGTTATCCCCTTGCCTCAGCCTCCCAAATTACTGGGACTACAGCTGCATGTCACCATGCCCAGCTAATTTCTTGTTTTTTTGTAGAAATGGAGTCTTGCTATGTTGCCCAGGCTAGCCTCAAACTCTTGGGCTCAAGCAATCCACCTGCCTTGGCCTCCCAAAATGCTGAGATTATAGATGTGAGCCTCCATGCCTGGCTCTGAATCAAACATTTAAAAAAATGTTATACACCGGTCAGGCATGGTGGCTCATGCCTATAATCCCAGCACTTTGGGAGGCTGGGGCGGGTGGATCACCTGAGGTCAGGAGTTTAAGACCAGCCTAGCCAACATGGGAAAACCCCACCTCTACTAAAAATACAAAAATTAGGCCGGGGGCAGTGGCTCACGCCTGTAATCCCAGCACTTTGAGAGGCCGGGGCTGGTGGATCACCTGAGGTCAGGAGTTCGAGACCAGTCTGACCAACATGGAGAAACCCCGTCTCTACTAAAAATACAAAATTAACTGGGCCTGGTGTCATGCACCTGTAATCCCAGCTACACGTGAGGCTGAAGCAGCAGAATCACTTGATCCCAGGAGGCGGAGGTTGTGGTGGCCAAGATCGTGCCATTGCACTCCAGCCTAGGCAACAGGAGTGAAACTATGTCTCAAAAAAAAAAAAAAAAAA